AGCGTGTCTCAACTTGTAGAATTGAAAAAAAAATTTTGGATAGGCTTTATATTATATATGAAGGAACTAATTAGGTGAAATAATCGAGATTGAACATTCTACTACATGATTATAAACTTTTTCACATGAAACTGAATGAATTAATCATTAACATGTACACATATTTCTCACAAATAGTCACCTCATTGCATGCTTTTGGAAGAGAATTAACGAATGCTAAAAAAGTAAATAAAATTCTTTATTATTTGCATACTGCTTATGATGCAAAGATAACTGCTATAATGGAATCAAAAGACTTAAAAATTTATTTTATTTATAATCTTCTTGGATCACTAATTACTTACAAGCAAGGAGTTACTTAAAAATAGATTGATGCAAGTGACAAGTGAAACGGGAAAAATATTGCATCGAATGTGGATGACTAAGATAGTGATCTGTCTCAACCTAAGGATGAAGATGATATTGCCTTAATGATAAGGCAATTTAAAAGTTTTCTTAAGAGGAAGCAGAGAAGATGTCACTAGTGGAATAATGGTAAGTTACAAAAAAATGCTAAATATTTTATTGATGAAATTTATTATGAATAAAGGAAGCCTGGACACATCAAATTTGCATGCCTGAATCTTAAAGCTAGTCCTAAAAAGGAGAAGGATGAGGAGAAAAAGCAATGTAAGATAGTATAACTCACATAGTTTTATAAATCTTTTTCTTGGAGTGAAATGTTTTTCTTCTGGATTAATTGGGCATATCTAACGCACTTGTACTATTCATAGTAAAACTCATTTAGTGTGGAGACCTAAGATATATAATTCACTGCACATCAAATATGCATCCAGATTATTATTGCCAAGAGGAGAACCTAAACTTGTTTGGGTTCCCAAGTCTAATGTTTAATCTTTTTGTAGAATCACTCTCATATAAGACCTTATGAGAATATTTGGTACATGGATAGTGGATGTTCAAAAAATATGACTTGATATACTACAAAATTCATATCACAGAAAGTCAAGAATGAAGGTAAGGTTATATTGGGAAATAATACCACTAGGAAAGTGGTAGACATATGTATTATTAGGAATTTGAAAAAAAATTTAATTGAGAATGTTTTATTGGTAGGAGGCTTAAAGCATAATTTATTGAGTATTAGTAAATCATGTGATAAATGTTAGTATAAAATGTTTTCCCACAAGCTGCATAATAAGCCAAAATGAAATTATTATTTTTTGGTTAAAACCCACAAAGGGGCCTACGCGTTAATATCAAAAAAGCGGTTACAAGGTCCTTAAAAGGAACCTCCAGCTCACTAATGCTCGGCAGAGCTACAAAAGAAAGTAAAAGGAAACCTAAGAGCCGGTGGTTCCTAGTACTAAAAGTTATAAAAAAATCTAATAACATTCTAGTGGTGCAATAAAGAAGCACCACAAAAAGGAAGAAAAGGATAACCACGATAAGCACAATCGTCCAAAAAAAATTGAAGCTCACCTTCCAAAAGGTCTAATAACCAGTGGAGCAGCTCCATTCGCACTCTCTGTAACACTGGCAGCAAATATGCATAAAAGGGAAACTCCAAAAAAAATAGAATATATGATAGTTATAGATAAGTGATGCATAAGCTTGCAGAAATAATGATTTAAAGGATGAAACTGAAGAAATACTTCCCTTAGGCTAGCAGCAATAGCTTGAATGAGATTAAATAAGGAGTTAGTACACCAATACAGTAACTACAAAAGGGAAGAACCCAGAGCAGAAACGCCAGAAATGGCTCAAACATGAGGTAAATGATATAACTGAAGAGAAACTTCCCAGAATGAGCCCAGAATAGAAGTACACTCGCAATGATGAACTTTCAAAGAGTAAATGTGTCGGATCATGTAAACTAATCTCTGAAAAGAGTTGACCCCACAATCCACATACAACAAAAAAGGATAGGGAGCACCAGAAAAACTGGCCCTCCCATACTTGCAAGAACTACCCTCCATGGAAATAAACCCGGATTTCACACAGCCAACCAATAGTTTAATATGCCAAAAACCAGCACTAGTAGAACAACCGAACAAACCTCCATCACCTGAAACAAAAATTAGTTGGAAATACACAATCCGAGACTAAAGCATCAATACCACATAACGTATCTTCGGATTGTGTAAAAGGAAACAAGTCAGTCCAGGCAAACATAAAGCCACAACCAATAAAAACCAAACCTCAATAGACTCCAGATCACCAGAACTACAAAAAAAAAACCATCATTAATTCCTCCAAAAATTAGACGCCCACAAAAGCAGGTTAAGGCTAGCAGGAAATAGCAAAACCATAAGGAGATCAAAGCAAAAAAGCTGAATACAATTAAAGTAACCGAATATAAGGTAAACCCAAACGATCTAATCTAGCAAGCCCTTTAGTATCTTTAGGAAGGCTATGTTCCTCATACTCCACAAAATTTTGTAATTTACAACCCCTTTTCGCAAGAGAATCAGCCACCGCATTCCCTTCTCATAAAATATGAGAAATTTTAAAGGAAGTAAGAGAAAGGAGATGTTTAATATCTCTAAGTCTATAGAATTTGTCAGAGTTAGCAGCAGATTGACCTTTAATGTAATAAATAATGAGCATAACATCCACTTCAACCCATAAATTATTGATCCCAAGAGAATTGCAAAGATGAATCCCATATAAAAGGCTATCCAACTCAGCTTGAATAGCATTAGTAGCATTAGAGGGACCCGCATAAGCTTTAATGACAAAACCCCTAGTATCCCTGATAATGCCACTACAACCTACCTCAGTAAGGTTTTTAGCACCATCCGTATTGAGTTTAAAGCACCCCACCATCAGTTTTGTCCAATGAATAATCCTGTTATTAGACGCAACATAGGTGGTAGAGAAATTTAAACTAAATTCCTCACAAAGGTGATGGTATCCTTTCAAAGAGTCATGTTATAAAAGCTTAGCAACATACAGTTGATAAATTTTATGCATAATTTTAGAAATAATCATGCACGCATCCATCTTGACATTCTCGAGTTTAGAAGCATTTCTACTATTCCAAATAAACCATGAAATCAAAAAAGGAATGATATTAAGAATATGACCTTTCTTTTTAGTAAACCATTTAATAAGCACATCAGTGATAGAAGTAAAATGGAAAGTAGAGAACACTTTAAACAAGTTGTCAAAGTGCAACCAAACTTTCATCGCAATAGGACCTTGAAAAAACATGGAGCAAGTTTTCAGTATGATAGCAGTATTGACACTTGGAAACAATATAGAAGCCTTTTTTAATAAGCATCAAATCCACAGGAACATAACAATGTAAAATTCTCCAAATCAGGAAAGATTAAGTAGGGGGGATACTAGAGTGCTAGAAAGAAACATTAAAATAATTAGAAGGAAGAGCCTGCTTAATAAATTTCCAAACATGTTTAGAGCTGAATTTACCATCATTAGAGTAATTGAACAAAATATAATCATCCATTTCCATATGAATAGTAATTTTCAAAATTAAATTGATAATAAAATCCAGCACAGTAGTGGATAGTAAGTCAAGGTTCCACTCCCATTGGTAAAAAACTCCTTAACTTTATAGTTGGAAATTGAACGCGTAAATAAAAGATTATCAATAGAAAAATTACTCAACCATTTATCTTGCCAAAAATGAATATTACCAATGCCTACTCCCCATTGAATTAAATCCTTGGCTTCCCACTTGACATTGCATAATGTTTTCCAGTTATTGGAATCACCAATTCTAAAATAGCAATTTAAAGGATGCTTGGTGCCACAGTATTTACAAACCTTAAACTTGGCCCAAAGGCTCTTGTTGTCCCTAAAGTTAAACCATAATTTATGATTAAAAGTATTAGCCATGTCTTTTATGGTTTTGAACCCAACTTTTTCTTCTTCCAAAGTACCAAAAAATTTTTTCCAAGAGCCTAAAATAATAGCATTAGAACCTTCCTTAGAACCCCAAAGAAATTTCTTGAAAAAGACCTCTAACCTTCTTGAAACATTCACAGTCGGGGCCAAAGTGTGGAGCAAATAAATAGGGATAGAACAAAGAACATGTTTAATGAGCACTAGTCTACCAACATAAGATAAGTAACTGAAAGCCCAGATAGTAAGTTTCTTCTGAATAGTGGAGAAAATATCATCAAAAAAGAAAGATTTTTTTCCTACCTTTAAATAGAGGAGTACCAAAATATTTAATAGGAAGAGAATTTTTGCTTAAACCAGTTTTGCTTTCAATTCTTGGGATACGAGAAGCAGAAAAAGATTTAGGTGTAATAAATGAACTTTTAGAATTGTTGAACGTTAAACCCGAAGTGTTTTGAAAATTTTCAAGAAAATTGAAAAGCATTTGAACCATTTTAATAGTCCCATTGGTAAAAATAATGAAATCATCCGCAAAGCTCAAATGGGTCAGAGGAAAAAACAACCAGTCCGATAATACAGTTTAGGATGCATTCTGAAAAATTGGTTAAGCCCACGAGATAAGATTTCCATAGAAATAATGAAGAGAGCAGGAGATAAGGGATCACCTTGTCTAAGCCCATGAGAAGAATGAAAAAAACCATGAGGGTTTACCATTAATAATAAATGAGAAATTACAAAATTCAATGCTATTTTTTTATCAAAGTAATAAAATGAGAATTAAACCCAAAAAGCTTTAAAATGACATAAAGAAATTCCCAATTAAGGTTATCATAAGCTTTAGTAATGTCCATTTTAAAAACAATATTCCCACCGACGACCTTCTTGTCCAAATCATGAATTAATTCCTGCACAAGTATAATATTATCAAATATAGATCTTCCTTTAACAAAACTAGACTGCTACAGAGAAATAATTTTGGGAAGAATAAGAGCATGTCTCCCCATTAAAATTCTAGAGATCACTTTATTAAAGAAGGAGCACAAACTAATAGGCCTATAATCATTCCAGAAATTAATATTATGAACCTTAGGAATAAGAGCAATAGAAGTGGTAGTGAAAAATTTAGGGTACTAATAACCATTAAAAAAGTCAACAACAGCATTAATAAGATCCTCCTTAATAATTTCCCAAGATTTTTGTAAAAATTTATTATTAAATCCATTGGGACCAACAACAGAGTCAGAGTTCATACTATTTAAGTTATCCCAAATCTCCTCAACAGAGGGAGTTTTAGTGAGCAAATAATTGTCCTCTTCCGACACCATAGCCTGAATAAAAGAGAAATCAGTATTAAGATTGAGAGCAAAGTTCGAATTAAAAAGTTTGCCGAAAAAATCAACTCCTAAAGAGGCAATCAAGTCTGGGTCCTCTATGATATCACCCTCAGACAAAGTGATCTTATGAATATGCCTGCTGACTTTATTATGATTAGCAATATTGTGAAAATAGGCAGTATTACGATCACCTTCCACAAGGAATTTGGAAGAAGCCTTTTGCCTCCAAAAAGCTTCTTCCTTTTCCTGCGGCTTATACAAAATGATTTTAGCATTGTTAAGAAGAAATAATTTTTCCAAAGAAGAAGTATGCATAAAAACCAACTGAGATTTATCCACCTCCTCTTCTTCTTTCAAAATGTTAGTAAAGATATTTTTGAAGATACATTTGTTCCACCAAGCAAGCTTTGCTTAAGTCTCTTGAGTTTGAACCAAAATTAAATCATTCCATGCACATTATCCGAGGGGACAAGAGGCACTTACAAATTCTCTTTCACATTCTGAAAAAAGATTCATCAGGAAGCCACATGTTTTGAAATCTAGAAGAATAAAAGCTATTAGTATTGGCGTTACAAAAACTTAAAAGAAGAGGAGAATGATCTAAAAGTGTACGAGTAAGATGAGTAATATGAATGTTAGAAAATTTATGGATCCATAGATTGTTAAAAAGAAACCGATCAAGTCTTTGCCACATATTTCCCCCGTTCCAAGTAAAATTGCTACCATAATAGCCAATGTCATGTAAATTACTATTTCTTATCATATCATTTAAATCCTCCACATTGTAAAAATTAGGAGGTTTACCACCAACCCTCTCATTCGAATTAGAACTACAGTTGAAGTCACCCCCACACACCAAGGGGCATCCAACAAAGAGGCAAAAGCATTGAGTTGACCCCAAAGAGTCTTCCTCCAACCTCTAGAACAAGATGCATAGATGAAAGAAGCAAAACAAGAAACATGGTTCAAATAAAAATTAATATGAACAACATGAGGTAAATCTAATATAATACTTAAAGAGATCGTATGATTCCAAAAGAGCCAAATTTTATTCGTGCAATTACCAAAGTAAAAATCAAAACACAAATAAACTTTAACAGACTCCATCTTAGTAGCAGCAATCAAGGGTTCAGTTAAAACAAGTAATTGGAGGCCATGAATCCTACAAAGATTCTTAACTCTATCCTTAGATAGAGAACCACCCACACCCCTAATATTCCATAAAAGAGCTTTAACCATTGGCGGATTGTGTTGACAATATAGTGATTCTTGGAGTGCTACTTGAAAAAACTTTAGAATTTTTGCCTTTCTTTTTGAAGTTGGAGTTATTTTCCACTTCAATGAATTTATTCTTTCCCTTGTTTGGTGACATAGATTTGGTAGGATCCTTAAATTCTACCATAGGAATCCATATTTCAATGTTCCCCACTTCCCCTTCCTCCAAATCATCATTCCTACATCTAGTGCCTTGTAAATGTTTAGAAGAAGTACTTTCACTTCCACTAACATAGTTTCCTTCCTTATGTTTAATATTATCTTCCTCAATACCCAGATTTTCCACATCAATATCCCCATTATTGATTAGAGCCCTTTCTTGATTAACAGCTATATTTAAAGTATCTAAAAATTCCACCATTTTGCTCCCACATCCATCATTGCCATACCATCATTTTGAACTCCAAATCATCCTTATTCACTTCACCACATGTTCTTATGGAAGAATTTAGAAAAATACCATCTATGTCATCTTTCTTAGTAATGGGATCCTCCACTTGTTTAATAGGGCCATTTTCCATAGAAGGAAGAGATCCAGGGTCAATGTTTTGCTCGGGCATTATAGATTCCATCAATTTTTTTGGGAACTTTAGAGTTAACCTTAAGTTGGGGATGCACAACATAACAATCAGCAATCGCATGGCCATGAATTTCATAGTGCAAACACAAATCGTGGACATTTTCAAAGTCAGCGTTTTGTAAATAACCTGCATTTTCAGAACCGATCCATACCTCTTTCGGATGTTTTTTGGTTATATCAATTTCAACCAAAATCCTAGCTATAGAAGGACGAGAACGAGAAGCCGTAGCTTGATTGGTTTGAAGAGGTCTACCAAAGATTGAACAAATAGCATGTAAAACATGAGCATTAAAAAAATGAAGCTGCAAATTTGGAAAAGAAATCCTTATGGGAACAATAGGAGACTCTTCCTTAACATCAAAGAAGGGAGTCCATTTCAAAAGTCTTATCCGATAGTTAAGTATATAATAAGAGTGCTTAGCAAGGACCCTACTGTAATCAAGGTCATTAGAAAGTTGGATCGAAACATGCCGAGCTTCTAACATCTCAATAGAGAAATAACCAGACAATTTAAGCTTACCAAAAAATAACCGAATAGCATGTAGATTGGGTCTACAGACAGCGAACTTTCCAACAAGGGTAAATTGATGAAGTAAGGCAAGTTTAAGAATGTCATCATCAGACATCAGTATAGTGGGAACTCCTTTAACAGTAGATTTAGTATAAGATAAACTAGGGTTATGCGAAGAAGTAGCACAAGCTAAAACATCGCAAAAAGAACAAGAAGATGAAATGGTTTTACCATCTACCAGTAAACCTTTCCAAGCACCAGAAGTTCCAGCGGGCAGAGTAGCCTAGACATCAGGGGAGGTTGAGGACGAGCCCATCTCCAAAAGGAGAAAAGAACGGCCCATGTCTGAAGCCCCCCAGAGAACGCCAAAGGAAAATCCAAATCAAAAAAAATAAAAAGTAAGGGCTATATCAGAAGAAATTACTGTGAAGGAAGGAAAAGGGCGAAAATCGCACGAATCACCAGAGTATGGGGACGGCTAGGGCAAAACGTGATGGCCAGAATGAAATTAATGTATTGCATGAAAATAGGGTAAATAATACGTATAATCTTGATTTGAATTGTATTAAATCTTCTAATATCTTTTATCTCAGAATAATTACTAATGAATTATAGTTATGGAATAGGAGACTTTGTCACACGAGCATGAAAAATATTATGAAAATTACCAAAAAAGAATTAGTTAGGGGAATAGCCAAGCTAGTCTTTACTAACGATCACCTGTGTGATGCATGACAATTAAAAAAGTAGGTGTAGTCCTTCTTTCATTCCTTTATGATTCTTAGAACTAGCAAACTATTGGAAATCATTTATATTAATCTTTTTAGACTAGTTAGCACTATTAGTCTACGAGGTAAAGTGTTTGGATTTGTGATAATTGATGATTTTTTAATATTCACTTGCGTCAGATTATTATTTTATAAGAGTGAATCATTTGAAAAATTTAAAAACTTTTGCACATTGCAAGAATTAAAGAGACCACATATGTTATTTTTAATGAATCTGGCATTTTAGAAGAGCAAAGGTCCAAAAAAGATCATAATAAAAATATATCGCAAGGAATTAAAAAGACAAATTTAGAAGAAGATGTTGGAAAAGAAACACCTGTGCCTAGAGAATAGAGATTTTTTCAGAATCACCCTAAAGAATTAATTTTAGGTGAACCTAGTGAGGGTGTTAGGATTAGGCATAGAGTTAGCAAAGAAGTGAACCATTCTTCCTATATATCAATGATTGAACCAACTAATATAAATCAAGCACTTCTAGATGAATTTTTATTTTTTTTCCATGCAAGAAGAATTAAAATAATTTATTAGAAATGATGTTTGGGAATTAATTGAAAGGACTAAGGATCACAATGTTGTTGGATCTAAATGGGTATTCAAAAATAAAATGATTGATTCAAGAGCTATGATTAGAAATATGGTAAGATTGGTGGCCAAGAGGGCATAATTAAATAGAAGGATTGATTTTGAAGAAACATTTTCCCTTGTAGCAAGAATTGAAGCAATAAGGGTTTTGTTAGCCTTTGCTTATTTAAAAGGTTTTAAATTGTATCAAATAGATGTTAAAAGTCTCTTTGTAAATGGGGTGATAAAAGAGATTGTTTATGTTGAGAAACCTCCATGTTTTGAAAATTATAAATTTCCTAATAATGTGTTTAAATTAAAAAAAAAAAAAGGTATTGAATGGACTAAAATAGGCACCTAGGGCTTAATATAACAGGTTGAGCACATTCATATTAGAAAGGTCATTTGTGAAATGAAGTGTGGACACTACTCTTTTTTTGAAAAAGATAGGAGATGACATACTCATTGTTAAAATATATATTGATGATATCTTATTTGGATCTACAAATAAAAACTTTTGTGGTGATTTTTCAAAAATAATGAGTAGTGAATTTGAGATGAGTTTGATGGGAGATTTAAGTTAGTTTCTTAGTTTATGTATAAAGTAAAATGAGAAAGGAACTTTTCTTAGTTAGTCAATGTATATTAAGGACATGCTCAAAAAATATGAAATGGATAATGCTAAACCAGTGATTACACTAATGAGTTCTTCAGTGCAGGTTGATAAGGACTCTATGGGAAAATCTATTGATCAAAAAAAAATTTAGAGGTATAATTGGATTATTTCTTACTTGACTGATAGCAAATTAGATATAATGTTTAGTATTTATTTGTGTGGTAGATTTCAATCTAATCGAAAGGAATCATATTTGATAGTAGTTAAAAGAATTCTGAGATATCTTTTGGGAACTCAAAACTTAGGGATTTGGTATCCTAAGCATAGATATTCTTTTAAAATTGTTAGATTTTTTATTTAGTTTTTATAGGATGTATGGTTGATTAAAAAAGTACATCTGGAACTTATAAATTTATAGGAAACTCTTTAGTTTTTTGGTCTAATAGAAAATAGAATTCAGAAGCCCTTTTTAATGCTGAAGTAGAATATATTGCCTTAGGTAGTTGTGTGGCACAAGTTTTTTGGTTAAAAAACAAAATGATTGACTTATGATGTTTTATTGGCACCATTCCTATTTTCTGTGATAATACTAGTGTTATATGCATTTCAAAGAATCCTATTCAACATTCTAGAACCAAGCATATTGGCATAAGGCATCACTTCATTAGAGATCATCTAGCTAAACGAGAAATTGAATTGAATCATGTTGTTACTGAGAATCAACTTACAGACATTTTCACAAAATCACTAGTTTTTAACATGTTTAGCACTCTAAGGACCAGATTAGTTGTGATTGATCTTAATTCTTAAATTGAAATTTTGCAAACTTGATTTATTGTGTAATTATTTGTTTATTTTCTTAGGTTATTTGTGAGAGTTTGTATGTTTGTTTATTTTTGTTTTATTTATTTTTTTAAATATTTTATCGTTAGTCTTGTTTTTCAATTTTTTGCATGTCATTGGATTTTAGGTAATTGGTTTAAAAAAAAAATTGTTTATCATGTCTTATTTTAAGTGTTTATTTTGTAATGTATGAAATTTTTATATTATACAAATTCTGTAGCATGTACATGATAAGTTTCAGAGTTGAGCACATGAAACAATGTTTTTTTATTGATTTTTATATTGTACGGTGATGTAATCATGCTGTATGATATGTATTGTTTCGTCTTTACGAGTGGTAATAGTTTTCTAGTAAATGTCAATTATTTATCACAGATCGTATGTATGAAATTATACTTTATTTGTATGATCCTATTGTCAGTTTCTCATGGGGATGAACCTAACCATCATAAAATTATATTTTATATTCATATAGTCTTGGATAAATAGATCTTCATCTGTACGATCTACTGGTCAAAAGTCTATATGAAAGGATGCATCGAAAATGACATTTTATGAAAAACATTTTATTTTTTGGGCGTATCCATTTGTATGTATGAAAATACTTTCATCCCATATGATTTTAAAATTGTACGTATGATCTCAATTTTATAATGTATGATAGGACATTTTTTTCTTCAAATATAAGGGTCCTGGATAAGTATTTTCATTAGGAATGGCATATAATAGCAAATGACCTTGCACTACTAAGGGATCATCCTCCCAATCTGGTAGGGATGAAAACTTTATTTCCAAAAAGAATGAGGAAGGATAGGTATTTTGCTACAAAAGTTACCCCCTCTCGACTTCTGATTCAAAGTGACATTAATTTTTTTAATATGCCACTTTTTGCCTCCACCCAATTTTCTTTTATACTGACCCTCAATCTATGCCTACCATAAAGTGACATTCCAAACTATTATGGCTAACATGAAGGTAAATTAAGACAACACCATGGTTACCTCTTATGTTTTCAAGAAACGAGTAGAAATAACTAAGGAAGACTTAGGTAACTTCCTTCACCTAAGAAACAAAGGAATAAGAGTGCACACCTTAACATCTAGAGATGACTTTAATTAGTCAGAAATAAATCAAACTCTTAGATGTGTTTCATAATTGTGTCATTTCTCTCATGCTTACACCCTCAATTAAAATGCCCAGATTATCCAGCATGTTTTGAGAACCTCAATTAATCCAAAAGATGGTGATCACATAAACTTGACTCCTCTCTTATCCATGTTCACATATTTGATTATGACTGTAAACCTTTTGATGAAGCCAATCATATTATGGATTATATTTATAAACTTTCCAATATTGGACTTCCTTATAATGAGAGAAAGAAAAATGAGGCTTTAGGATATCTAGTTTCCAATATCTTAGAAAAGAACTACAATATTATCCATCCTAATCCACCCACTGA